AAAGTTTGCTCAATAGGACCCTATGTGGCAGTCTGTCAAATGCCTTGCTAAAATCAAAATATATTACGTCAACATTTTTTCTGGCATCTAGCGCTTTAGTTTGTTGAGATTGCCTAGGAAAACTACATACCAGTCACCATAAAAACCTGTCCTATACCAGTACTATCTACACCCGGCATGTTTCTCTAACTCTCATCCTAATTAGACCCCTCCACGCCACCGGTTGCAGTGATACGTTTATAGAACGCTTGTGAAAACAATGTTGTGCACTCGTAGATGCATTGGTTCAATTTTTTTCACAGACTTTAAAATTTTGAACACATCCCAATCGTCATCCATCAATCGTAAAACAATATGTTGTCAAAAGGATCACCGCCTCTGATCGCCGCAAACAGATTTCAGTTTAGCGCGAAGCCGGGGTGATATGCGTTGGTAAGCTGCGTGCACTGTATGCAGGTTTCAGCACGCCCTCTCATGTCAGATGGTCTCGCTGCGGGCCACACAACACCGTCCACTTTCCGCAAACTTACCCACAAAGTGCAGAAAAGCTGAAAACCCTTCAAGTTGCTCGATCTGACAGGCAATCTTTCGCGAAGAGATCAAGCTATCTTTCCCGGAGCGTCATCAATACTCTGCTAATCCGAACACCTCGCTATTCCCCGCCCCCGATAACCACGCCCTCTGCCGGTCTTCGTTCCACCGTCACACCCCATACTTTTCCTTTTTTCAGATCTAGTTACAGTTGATGTCGTCACAATCGGTCGGGACGGTGTAGAGAGGCGTGAAATGAGCCCACCTGCGTAGTTTCCAACCTCTAGTTATTTTTTTCCTGGAATCGATCACTAACTGATCACTACTACAGAAAGGGCAGCCAAGAAGGTGGACCCATCCCGTCTCCCCTGACACCGCCCTGACTGATACCCCCCCCCCGCAAACTGTCACCCTTAACATTTTTCCAAAGATCCTATCCTTATTGACTGCACATTCTTATCGGGTCCGCTACTGAGTTTGAGAACCTAAGATGTTTTGACCTGAAACCCCGCTTTAGGAGTTATCAGAGCTCGTCTGCACATTTGAATCAAAGCAGCATTCATTCCGGAGTCTGCTTTCTCGGCTTAGTTCCTTCTCTGCTTTACCAATTGCTGCCTTGAGCAGGAGGTAAATGAGTTACTATAAATGTACCCTTTATAGGCACTATGCTGCACCTGTGTCTGAGCTAACTCATAGCCATTTGTATTCCTGTTTTGTCATCCATTTGTAAGGCTATCAGAAGCAGACATTATCGCTCACCTTATCCTGATAGCATCGCATCACGTTATCCTGATGGCAGTTCGATTTCTGGGATTCCGCGTTCGCGAAGCACTCTTCCAAGCTTTGCGCTGATAGCCTGTTCTAAAAGAAAACTAATCGCTCAATGATACGTAAGAACATCCGGAAATGGGGCATTTTCTTCCCATTGAAGATGCCCGACACCTTTTCTGAAGCCCCACGTATTACCATAACATTCAAGTTGGTGGGAAATTTATCGAAATTAATCTGCAGCCTAGGTTGAAATTGGGTTTTCATACTTCCAAGGGTCTGTGCTTTGGGAAATTCACGAACACGAAAGGGGATGCAGCTTAGTAGACTTACTCTCGAGACAGTACGGCAGAGGTACCTACCAACAACTGCGCTTTTGCTTCACTGATAATGATTGCTTAGACTTCTAACACGTACATACACTATCACTTTCACCCTGGCGGGCCAAACGGGTTTCCCGGCTTAGTCAGTTAAACCCGAATTCCAGTCTTTAATCAGTGCTTCGTTCCCACGTAATCGCCAGGCTGATTGGCACAAGCCATGTCCCAGTTTTTTACTGCGCGCATTACCCTTCGAGTTCACATTGGGCTGCCCATGTGTAATAGATTCAATTACCTTATCTTGAGTGCAATAAAAACCCGTCTTCGGCAAAGCCAATATAGTTGGTCTTAGCGTAATCGTGGTAAAAATCTAAAAGCTAAGAGTTCCTTACTGTGCCTTTTTTTAGGAGGTATGCTATTTATCGCGTTCGAGATACGGAACTGCGCACTTCTGCCTGGGAGGGGAGGGGGGTGACATTCTGCACTTTCGCTACTTCCTGTCGTTCGCGTCGAGCCTTTTAATGAGACCTGTGAAATCTTGTGAAGTGACAATGTGATAAGTGTCATATCTTTGACACATGTAGAAGTATGTGGCAAGAGAACCATAATTCGCCGCACCGTCGTGCCTCGTGGTGGGCGACGTCCGGCGCCAGCTAATGACGGACGATTTAGGAGGTATTGATCGGAGTTAGACATGTATGACCAAAAAAAATAGACAGAGAATTGACTACCGTGCTTTGCGTACATGAGATCGGATGCTCCAATCGAAGGATAAGGCAGTTTGAGGAACGTCGCGCCCGTTTGAGCGCGACGAAAGGCGGCAAATCACGATTCTCTTGCCCGTCCCCCTTGATAGAGAGCCACCTGCAACCATTGTGAAGAATACCTCTTGATTGTTTTGAAATGGGCAATAAATCAAGTTTTTGGTGGGAAGTAGGTCAAAAGCCCAAAATGCCCCCCCTATCACTCAAGCTGAACGGGCGCGATAAGTTATCACATGGATTTCTAACTGTCGAATCCTGCCCTGTGAAAGTCTACTGCTCAAAATCTAAAAAATCTTGTGGTCTATGAAAAAATCCGCACTGGACGGGGTCTTTATTTCGAGGAGATCAGCGGTCTCTAATGCTATGTTAGTTTAAGGGGCATAGGCACTCGCTGAAGGGTTGAGAGTTACGTCAACGCGTATCGCTCTACTCCAACACGCCGCTAGTGCTTTTCAATGGGCTAAAAACTGAATTAAAGGGTTGTGTGCGATGTACAAGTTGATATTTTTATCCTACAAGACGAGGTCGATGCAGAGGAACGGAGAGTTTGGTCGGCCTGGGGGACCTGGAAACCGATCGTTGGACGCTATTGTTAAGCCGACATCAGTAGGCCAATGGAAAATCTCAAACAACAATAATTTCTGCTCTGGTTCGGTAAAAAAACCAGTAATAGAAGTAATCAGACCTTGTTGCCCTTGTATGTATGTAGTAGAGCTTCTTATGCATCTGCTATATCCTTCCCTTTTCACTATTAGCGTGCTTAATCAGCTCAGACTCACGGTTATGTCAGTTGGCGTCTATCCTTCTATCCACCCTCCCTTTACAGGCTACAGTATCCCCAGCCTAGGCAGTCTATACTGCCTAGACTCTGCTTACCTTGTTTAGTGACCTATATCTAAAGGCCTTATTCGCGCGGGTGGGGTTGTGTCATAGTAGGGAAGTTTCGTTTGCGGCAGCTCCTGCCTGTTTCCCCCAATTGCTGGAGATAGAAAACTACAAACTGGTGAGAAAAGGCTGTCACACGCATAAACCGGCCTCCCCCCACTCTCCCTTGACATGCTACAGTATCCCCAGCGAACAAGGCTATAACGCTTAAAATCCGCTGATAACCTTAATAACCTTGGGGGAGGGGCGCATCACAAGGCCTTTCCGTGAAAATTGGAATTCACAAGATGGAGATAAGGACTTTGGCAGTAGACCTTAAGAAGGAGCTCTGGCGCGTGTGAATGAATTTGAACGACGGTACTTCTATTTGTATGGCGTCAGCCGCACTTCTGCAGGAGGGTTCTCAAGATTGCCCCTCACGGTTATTAGCAACCGTATCAATTCGCTTGTACATCTGCAATTCACTAGATTTATTTATTATCTAGTGATGATAGAAGTTTTATAAAGCTATGTTGACTCTATATGTACATTATCACAAAATACCGAAGTAAACGAAGGTAAGTGTAAAAATTTCAAGTGAAACTTTTTCAAATAAGTGAAAGTTTCAAGTGAAGTTTTTTGAGCAGTCAAAAGCGCCAGCTATAAGCTTCGAAGTAAGCGCTGTATAATGTGATCACACAGGGATGCAGAGTCTTGGTCCTCGATAATTCCTATGGTGACCACGTCTTCTTCTCCGGTGGGATCCTCCAAGGTGGCCAGTTGACTGTCAAGTAACTCAGGTGGCATGTAATGACCCTTACGGTTCCTGACGCGCTTCTCGAGAAGATTCCTTGAACAACACAGCTCAATTACTGCAGAAGTTTTCGGCTACTTCCTTTGTAATAAGTCACCTGTCCACTTTGAGGAATATAAAACGACATCGAACTCCAGTCCTTAGCAAGTCACGGTAACATCTTCTCAAGGCAGAACAACCAATCACCACTGCTCTATTCGATCTACAGTACGTGTTGATCGCAGTAAGCCATGGTATTCTGTCAATGTCGTTGAGCGGGGTTCCTTGAAAAAATTATATTTGTAGTTAAACGAGTGAGTTTGGTTTCGCCCTGACCTGATTTCATTTTGGCTACGTTCGCTTCTGAGTGGAAATCGTCTCCGTCCATGTAATGCCATCCGAGAGAATCAGCTAAATGATTGCCTACTGTGGTTTTTCCACAACCACTCACGCCCATGACGAATAGAGCATCGATTTTCGATAGTAACACATCACTGTGAGAAGACATTCGGCCTGAAGTAGGCGAGACAAATTCTCGCTCTAAAATGAAGGTATCGATTGAAAAAAAACTTGTACGCGAGGGAGTGTGGCCATCCTTCACCTCCTGTTGGTGTCGTTCAGGAAATTTGCAATGGAGAGATTAGCAGAATATTCCTTAGCCAGTTCACTCTATTTCAGCAATTCTAGCCTACACCAATTGAGTTCTGGTGCGAATGTCGCGGGCGCGACATCATTTCAAGCCCTTATAGGTAGGATAACACATGCAATACGGGCTGAAGCGATGATTAATGTGCTGGATGACCTTGCACCTGGGCGTGCCTTAGTGGAGACAAGAAATTCATAATCCGTCAGGCGCGGCGCACCGAACCGCGTTGCGCGCCAAGTCTTGATATGCATCAGTTCCACGACTGGAGCAACCCCATGTGAACTCAAGCGAAAGCAAGATTATGACTATATGCCGAATGATATAGATATACAGATCTTTCCCCTCCCCCTACTCATATTCAAACAATCGGGCAAGACAACTCGTCTCGCGCCGGTGGGCGTGGCATCAATCGCACACCTGCGCGAGACAAGCGCGTCAATTACGACTGTTGTCACATACCCCGCGTCAGAAAATTCGAGCCTGGCGACACGAGGAAACAGGTTCTTTGCTATAGGCACTTCCTTGCAGCTTTCTGTACCACTTCCGCGCCATAACAACTTGTTCTGGTGGGCGAAAATGTCGCGTCTTGAACGTCACTTGCCGCGCTTTCGCCCTCGCCACTCCCGCCGCAACTCCAAGCTGACCTGCACTCCTGAAGCCGATACTATGTTTCAGCCTAAGCCACTTTCTTCTCTATAACATTGCTCTCAACCCCATCTACTGCTCCCACACATCGAGGGGGGTGGGGGGGGGGGGGGGGGGTAATAATGCATCCATAAGAGCAGCGAGTATGCTACCCCCCTCATTACAATCTTGATTGTGGAGACTGTAACGAAAAACTTTGATAAAGGTGTTCCAAAAATCAAACGTGTTTCAACTACTGCTAAGGGTTAGCTGGCAGGCCTGCACAGATATTAGGATATATTTATCTTTCTGGTACAGAAATGAGGCAGAACCAAGTTCACAACAAGCGTAGCTATGATTGAAATCACATAACAGGTCACAGAACATAACAAAACTTCAACATTCAAATATATATGGCATGAACATTACAATATGAAACTAGATTTGAACTTTGAACAAGATTTGTCCGCTTGGATTATTGGTCAGTCTTCCTCCTTTGGACGAGGTCTTAGCGAACGAAACGGTGGAAAATAGAACCAACGGGCCAGCGAGCCGTACAGAAATACTGAAATAGACAATGACGATCAGAAATAAATAAATAAAAGACTAGAGAGCTTTGCATTAACTAGTTACACGTGAGGATCGAGCAATGAAACTCAGAAATAATTTTTTCGTTGTAATCACTGGGAAATCACATTACTAGCATTTCTTCGTAGCAGTTGAAATGACCGCGGGCCACAGTGAACTCACAGTTTGAAAAAAATTCGCGAAAATGCCCGCTAAAAAGCGTGAATAATCAACAACTAGAGGGGAACGGGCCGGCGCCGCCCCGAGCCCAGCATTCCTTGACCTTCCTCATATTTCAGTGGCCACGATGAAGGGGTTCATAAATGGCTTATTAGGAAGTATCTGCTTTGGGTTTTGTAAGGGCTACAGCTAGTAAGGAGATTGTCAGGGAAGGGGGGGGGGCGTATTCGAGGAAATTTCTTCTCATCCGGACACAGCTATTATTTGAGAAAATGAGTTCCAATTAACTAAACCCAACTATCAATCTACTTGTAAGTAACAACTAACCGACGCCTACACTTTGCACAGCTCGTTGTATGTAAGGTCTCTTCACGTAGTACTTCGAAGTCGCCGTTGTGTAGAATATGACAGACGCAATGAATGCGCTGCTTAGCGAACCAGTCACTCGACATGGGAAACAATCCTTTTCTATCTGTTTAGTTGGCATCCCCGACGACATCTGTAAGTTCAAAAAGAAATCAGTCATAACTAGACACGGTTTCAGAATAAGAGGTAAAATAGATAGACAGATAGACAATCAATAGGTATGGATAACTCACTGAGTAACATCCTGTATATTATAGAAAAACCATAGGCATTATATTTATCCACTAAACATATATACAGCACAAATTGCATCATTGTCATGTCTTCTGTATTGATACTCTCTCCTTTACGAAGAAGTTGAAAGGGAATATTCCGAATTCATTAGCCACAGAAAGGTATAAACAGCCTGAAAAATAAATTATTTAACTAATATTCATGCCTATGATGGTGAAAAAAAACTAATACAGAGCCTCGTCAACAGAGCGGCACGTAACACTGCAAGCGCAGCGGTCCTAGACCGAAGACCTGATCGCTAGGGATTCCTTGGCAAAGAAGATGTACTATGGCCGCTAGGGAAAGGGGGGGGAAGGACGAGAAAATCTCGCAGGAGGTGCGTGCTGAGCGCCATCGCTGTGATGCCAGGCTAACGGTTGGACAATGATTAGCGCCGTTTATCACTGGACCTTAATGGAAATTGGCACGATGATACTCCTCAATCAACCCGCAGTCACTGACAGCACAGAAGCGGGCAATGTGATAATTCCAATCCGTATTTCAGTGAAAATAGCCTAGTTCCTCTAAAAAAGATTCTCTGATCCTCAGAATAGGGCTGTCGGCTTCGGTCCGTGTGCCAGTGTTGTTAACTGTTCAGCTTCGGGAACTGCTTCTTCGCTCTATATATCCTATTGTGGTTTACCATTCATAAGCAACGTGCCAGCGAGTTCTTTGCCCTGTAGTGCCATGACAGGCTGATGGCCTCACTGGTCACCGCGTAGGCGTGCTGACTACGCCCAGGGAGGCAGGCATGTGCGCATTTTTCCGTGGAGCCAGTGTAGGGAGAATGGGGCTAGCTGAGTTATTTTGCGTTGATGACCAGCTATATAGATAGCTTTGCCCCCCTTGATTGATGTTCACAAAATCTCTATTGAGAGAAAATAATCAATGTAACCGTGTGTATGAAACACTTCGATTGAGACCTACCCTCAGACCCGACACGCAGGTTACAACCACGCGAGGCGCTAGTTTGAGTGGGCTAAGCAGCGACGCGTCGACATTTCCTCCTCCCTAGGCCTAGGAAAGCGCCGACGATCAAAGTCGAGCGGTATCGTGTCATAAAGAAGTATAGTCGCACCGTTACCTGGCCTC